CTCAGCTGTTCACATGTATGTTATACATTCAGGGTGGAGTTCTATGCCATCATGCAAACCTCAGCTGTTCACATGTATGTTATACATTCAGGGTGGAGTTCTATCCCATCATGCAGACCTCCGCTGTTCACATGTATGTTATACATTCAGGGTGGAGTTCTATGCCATCATGCAGCCCTCAGCTGTTCACATGTATGTTATACATTCAGGGTAAAGTTCTATCCCATCATGCAGACCTCAGCTGTTCACATGTATGTTATACATTCAGGGTGGAGTTCTATGCCATCATGCAGACCTTAGCTGTTCACATGTATGTTATACATTCAGGGTGGAGTTCTATCCCATCATGCAGACCTCAGCTGTTCACATGTATGTTATACATTCAGGGTGGAGTTCTATGCCATCATGAAGACCTTAGCTATTCACATGTATGTTATACATTCAGGGTGGAGTTCTATGCCATCATGTAGACCTCAGCTGTTCACATGTATGTTATACATTCAGGGTGGAGTTCTATGCCATCATGCAGACCTCAGCTGTTCACATGTATGTTATACATTCAGGGTGGAGTTCTATCCCATCATGCAGACCTCAGCTGTTCACATGTATGTTATACATTCAGGGTGGAGTTCTATGCCATCATGCAGACCTCAGCTGTTCACATGTGTGTTATACATTCAGGGTGGAGTTCTATGACATCATGCAGACCTCAGCTGTTCACATGTATGTTATACATTCAGGGTGGAGTTCTATCCCATCATGCAGACCTCAGCTGTTCACATGTATGTTATACATTCAGGGTGGAGTTCTATGCCATCATGAAGACCTTAGCTATTCACATGTATGTTATACATTCAGGGTGGAGTTCTATCCCATCATGCAGACCTCAGCTGTTCACATGTATGTTATACATTCAGGGTGGAGTTCTATGCCATCATGCAGACCTTAGCTATTCACATGTATGTTATACATTCAGGGTGGAGTTCTATCCCATCATGCAGACCTCAGCTGTTCACATGTATGTTATACATTCAGGGTGGAGTTCTTTGCCATCATGAAGACCTTAGCTATTCACATGTATGTTATACATTCAGGGTGGAGTTCTATCCCATCATGCAGACCTCAGCTGTTCACATGTATGTTATACATTCAGGGTGGAGTTCTGTCCCATCATGCAGACCTCAGCTGTTCACATGTATGTTCTACATTCAGGGTGGAGTTCTGTCCCATCATGCAGACCTCAGCTGTTCACATGTATGTTCTACATTCAGGGTGGAGTTCTATGCCATCATGAAGACCTTAGCTATTCACATGTATGTTATACATTCAGGGTGGAGTTCTATGCCATCATGCAGACCTCAGCTGTTCACATGTATGTTATACATTCAGGGTGGAGTTCTATGCCATCATGCAGACCTCAGCTGTTCACATGTATGTTATACATTCAGGGTGGAGTTCTATGCCATCATGCAGACCTTAGCTGTTCACATGTATGTTATACATTCAGGGTGGAGTTCTATGCCATCATGCAGACCTCAGCTGTTCACATGTATGTTATACATTCAGGGTGGAGTTCTATCCATCATGCAGACCTCAGCTGTTCACATGTATGTTATACATTCAGGGTGGAGTTCTATGCCATCATGCAGACCTCAGCTGTTCACATGTATGTTATACATTCAGGGTGGAGTTCTATGCCATCATGCAGACCTCAGCTGTTCACATGTATGTTATGCATTCAGGGTGGAGTTCTATGCCATCATGCAGACCTCAGCTGTTCACATGTATGTTATACATTCAGGGTGGAGTTCTATGCCATCATGCAGACCTCAGCTGTTCACATGTATGTTATACATCAGGGTGGAGTTCTATGCCATCATGCAGACCTCAGCTGTTCACATGTATGTTATGCATTCAGGGTGGAGTTCTATCCCATCATGCAGACCTCAGCTGTTCACATGTATGTTATACATTCAGGGTGGAGTTCTATGCCATCATGCAGACCTCAGCTGTTCACATGTATGTTATACATTCAGGGTGGAGTTCTATGCCATCATGCAGACCTCAGCTGTTCACATGTATGTTATACATTCAGGGTGGAGTTCTATGCCATCATGCAGACCTCAGCTGTTCACATGTATGTTATGCATTCAGGGTGGAGTTCTATGCCATCATGCAGACCTCAGCTGTTAACATGTATGTTATACATTCAGGGTGGAGTTCTATGCCATCATGCAGACCTCAGCTGTTCACATGTATGTTATACATTCAGGGTGGAGTTCTATCCTATCATGCAGACCTCAGCTATTCACATGTATGTTATGCATTCACGGTGGAGTTCTATGCCATCATGCAAACCTCAGCTGTTCACATGTATGTTCTACATTCAGGGTGGAGTTCTATGCCATCATGCAGACCTCAGCTGTTCACATGTATGTTATACATTCAGGATGGAGTTCTATCCATCATGCAGACCTCAGCTGTTCACATGTATGTTCTACATTCAGGGTGGAGTTCTATGCCCTCATGCAGACCTCAGCTGTTCTCATGTATGTTATACATTCAGGGTGGAGTTCTATCCCATCATGCAGACCTCAGCTGTTCACATGTATGTTATACATTCAGGGTGGAGTTCTATGCCATCATGCAAACCTCAGCTGTTCACATGTATGTTATGCATTCAGGGTGGAGTTCTATCCCATCATGCAGACCTTAGCATGTCTCAAGGTAACATTTTGTTCATCCACCAAACCCCCAACCCTCCATGGGGCCCTCCCATGCCTGGGAGACTGCTGGGAAAGGAGGGTGCTCTGTGACTCCCCAAAGCCCTTCCCTTCACACCGCACACGAGCCTCACAGCAATGCCATTAAGCATGCATCACTCACTAGCTCCTCACTGACAGAAGATGAACCTGAAGTTCAGAGTGGCTCCCCCGTGATGGTACAGTCCTGAGCTCCTTCCGGGACGTGATTAGACTTTACAGAGCTTCCCCATCCCGCTCCCCCCCAGGAGCCTGGGCCCTCAGTACCCTTCCCCTGACACCCAGCGTGGGCTGGTTTGCACTCTGTGGTCCCCCCAGCAACTTCCCGGGCCTCCCCCCTCAGCCTCTAGCAGGGTACAGTTCACAGAGGGTGGACAGCAGTCAGGCAGGGTCAGTGTAGTGAGTGACATACACTCACAGTCGCCCAGCGATGTGGATCCTGCCTCCCACGCGTAAGGTTTTGAGTGCACTCTCACACTCGAGTACTTGTACATTGTATTTGTACTTTTACTCGAGTACCTGTGACCATTGTACAACACTGAACAGTGATGAGGGGAAATGAGGAGGATGGAGCAAGTACGCCAGACTCCCAGCGGCCCAGTGGCTCCCGGTGGCTCCCCGTTCTGGGTTCCGTTTGGACCCGCTTTCTGGCCGCCCCTTGGGAGCTGCTCCCCGCCGTGCGGATGGGTGTGAGGGGCAGGTCCCCCGCCCTCCTGGCCCCAGGCCTGTGGCACTGAGTGAGTTCAGGAGGGTGATTCTTCCCAGAATGCGTCTTTATCCCTTCCGGGGTGGCCTGCCTGTCACCCACTGTCTCATCCGGAGCTGTGTCTTCTCAAACACTTTATGACCTTTGCCTCATCCCTAAACCACCTGTCCTGTTATTTACTTCATAGATTTCTTAAATCTGATTCACTTTTACAAATTAAATACCTCCTTTAACCTTGTCATGAGCAATAACGCCCACGAAATCCAGATTCGACATTCTAATTATTTTTCCTAAACAAGGGAAAATAAATGCGGAACTATTAACAAACAAAAAGCCCAGGTAGCACACTGGGGAGCGCCGCTGTGGAGGGGGGGAGAGTCCTCCGGCTCCGCCCGAGCCCGAAAGGCCCCTCCCAGAGCCCAGTGACCACCCTGAGACACTACCCGCTGCTTTGTGCAGCTACCTTCCCAAGACACAACGGATGCCCTAGGGCGGGGCGAGGGCACCGTGACCCCCAGCCCACAGCGTCATGTGCTTAGGCTGAGCTAAAGGGCCTTGGCCTTGACTGTCCCAAGGAGAGTGACCACAGCTTTGGCTCCAAACTGGTGGCGGCTGAAATACGTCATTTGCTTCTTCTGTTCATGGAGCCCCCTCCCCCCCCGGGGTCTCTGGGCAACACAGTCTAAGGCGAGGGTCTTCAGAGATGGCTGGGGCTGGCAGCATGTGAACCCCGCCCCCCCTTGATGATACCTTGGCCCCACTGTGACCCCAAGACTGTCCAGCGCCAGGGCATGAGAGTTGAGCTTTGGGGTGTCATTTGTCTGGGAGGCTACCCTCAGCAGCCTGAGTCGGGGCCAAGGCTCAGTCTTTGTATGTTCTCTCCGTCTCTGTCCCTGTTGTTGGATACCCACCGGGTCCTTGCTCTCAGGGTCACCCCAGTAGAAGTAGGGTTGACGCTCAGCCGTCAGTTTCTCCCTCGGGCTCACTTAGTAGAAATGAGCTCGCTTCGCCTTTTCTCGTTCACTTGTTCTTACTCAAAAAGGATTAAAAGCTAAGTGTTCTTGGGAATACTTCTTTTTTGCATCTACCAAGAAATCTAAAATATTTATTTATCTTCGGCTCTTACTCAATACATGACCCAACCTAAACCTCTTTGTGTCTACCCTTAGTATACTCAGTATGACTCTCACCTTCCTCTTCACTGTGAGATAACTTGAACTGTTTTCTTTGGGAAACTCCCTGTACTGACTGTCATAGATTAGACTCTGGCAGGACCCAGCCCTCTTTCCTTCCGAACCGAATGGGGGTACCCTGGCCATCAGAGACTCCCCGGGGAGCTTGTGAACCGCGGGTGTCTGCCCCCCACCTTTGCGGAGTTGGACTGGACAGGTCTGGTGTGAGTCCAAGGTAGCTCCATTGTTTGAAAGATGCTCAGGGGACTGTGAACCGTTTGGGAACAATTGCCCTGACTGGTCTAAATCACGAGGACAACTTGGTTCCGACGCCAGCTGGGGTCTGTGAAGCTCACGTGCATGTCGCGGCCCAGGGCCGAGGTGCTCGAGAACCACCTGACGGGAAGATTGCGATTCTGCATAAGTGGGGACCAGGACCTGGGCTTTCTTGAGGCTTCCTCTTGGTTCTTCATAAACCTTATCAGCAATGTCAAGGATGACGCTGATCTTCCTGTGTGCTTGGAAGGAGGCGACATGCTCATGTCATCTGAACGTGGTATCAGATCACGCAGCAGCACTTACAGAGAAAGGGGCCTGACACACTCAGCCCCGGTTCATGTCATGGGAGATTGTGATCTGCAGGAGACTTTTCTGCCCACTCTCACGCGTGTGTCACGGGTCAGAGGTGGGCTTTTGGACAGCACGGGTGGGTGGAGATCTGGGGGGGCTCCCCCGGCCCGGTGCCTTGCTGATTTCTGTCCCGGTGGTCAAGGCTGCTGACAAATTGCTGCGAAGCTGCCAACACTTTGATACTATTGTAGAAAATGTCTCCGTCATGTGTCAGAAACCACACTACATCCGTGTGCACAAGCAGCTCACTTGATAACCACGGGAGAACACAATAACCTCGGGAAGCGAACGTTTTCGTCTCCATTTGACATCTGCGCGGACTGAAACCTGATCTGGCCCGAAGTAACAATGTTCCCTCCCAGATGGCCTGACCCCCATCTCATTCCCGGACCTCAGGCCGCCCAGGCGAGTCTGCAGGTGGCCCAGACGTAGGGGAGGACCGCCGGAACGGTGCGCATTCATGATGCTGAGTGGAAAGGCTAGTTGAGAGCGAGGTTGAAATTTTAGGAGGCAGTAGGTAAACCAATGTTTCTAATTAAAAAAAAAATTAAGGACTTATTTCTTCAGACACTTTGAATTTCACAACAAAATTGAGGGGAAGAGATTTCCCAAAGACTCCTGCCCCCTCCCCCCACAGCACACCGCCCTCACTGTCAATATCCCCCCACCAGTGTGATACATTTGTTACAACCGAGGAGTCTACATTGACACATTGTCATCACCCAAAGATACTTTATCTTAGGGTTCACTCGGAGAGTTGCACGTTCTATAGGTTTAGACAAATGTATAATGACATACCCAACATTGCATCATACAGAGTATTTTCACTACCCTAAAAATCCTGTGCTCCACCTATTCATTCTTTCCAAACCCCTTGCGTCTAGTTGGGAGGAAGGAGCTACCTGTTCTTTTATTGTTACTACATAATTGGTAAATTTTCTTCAGATATGATTTTTTTCCTTACATTTTTTATGTGGTGTATCACATTTATTTTATTTAAAAAAATTGTTTTTCTTTACTGATTTTAGAGAGAGAGAGAGGAAGGGAGAGGGAGAGCGAGAGAGAAACATCGATGACAGAGATCATCAATTGGCTGCCTCCTGCACGCCCCCCACTGGAGATCGGGCCCACAACCTGGGCATGTGCCCTGACCAGGAATCAAATCAAATCATGATGCATGGGTTGATGTTCAATCACTGAGCCACACCGGCCAGGCTGTATCACATTTATTGATTTGCAAATATTACACCAGACTTGCATCCCTGGGATGAATCCCACTTAGTTGTGGTGAATATATTTAAATATATTGCTGGGTGCTATTTGTTAATATTTTGTTGAGGATCTTGGCATCTCTGTTCATCAGGGATGTTGGCCTGTAATTTTCTTTCTTTGCCATGTCTTTATCTGGTTTTGGGATCAGAATTATGCTGACCTCATAAAAAGAGCTTGGAAGTCTTCCTTCCTTTGGGGTTTAGTTTGAGGAGAATGGATGTTTTGCTTCTTTGAATGTTCGGTAAAACTCTGGGTGAAGCTGTCTAGACTTCGGCTTTTGTTTGCTGGGAGTTTATTGATTACTGCTTTAATTTTCTTAGCTGTTATTGGTTTGCTCAGGTTTTTGACTCTTCCTGGTTGAGTTTTGGAAGACTGTATTTTTCTAGGAATTTGTCCATTTCACCTAGGTTGTCCAATTTGTTGGCATATAATTGTTCATAGTAGTTTCTTACAGTCCTTTGTATGTCAGTTTTTACTTCATCTCCTTCTGACTTTATTTATTTGGGTCTTCTCTCTTTGTTTCTTGGTGATTCTGGTGAAGCATTTATCAAGCTTGTTTATATTTTAAAAAACAGCTCTTGGTTTTATTAATCTTTTGTATTATTGTTTTAGTCTCCATGTAATTTATTTATACTATAATCTATATTATTTCCTTCCTTCTACTTACTCTGGGCTTTTCTTGTTGTTCTCTTTCTACCTGTAATTCTCTAAATTGCAGGGTTAGATAGTTTACTAGAAAATTTTCTTGTTTCTTGAAGTAGGCATGTAGTGCTATGAACTTCCCTCTCAGAACTGCTTTCATTGCATCCCATAGATTTTGTGTTGTTGTGTCTTTGTTTTCATTTTCATTAGTTGATATCATTGGTAACCCATTCCTTGATTAATAACATGCAATTTAGCCTCCATGAATGTTTTTATTATAATTGATTTCTAGTTTTATGCCATTGTGATTTGAGAAGATGCTTGATATAATTTCAATCTTCTTAAACTTAGAGACTTAGTTTGTGTCCTAACATGTGATCTATATTTGAGAATGTCCTACTCACACTTGAAATGATTGTATTTTCTGCATCTTTGTGGTGAAATGTTCTGTAAATATCAATTAAATCTATCTGATCTATTGTATCATTTAGGGTCTCTGTTTCCTTGTTGATTTTTTTATCTAGGTCTATCCAGTGATATTAGAAGGATGTTAAAGTCCTCTACTATGATTGTATTGCTGTTGATCTCTCAAAGTTCTCCAGAAATTTAAAAATATATTTTTTTGCTCCTATATTGGATATACATTTTGTGTTTGTTTGTTTTTAAACCAGGGTTATATCCTCTTGTTGGATTGATCTCTTTAGTATTATGTAGTGACCAGAGGTTCTTTTTCATAGTTTCTATCTTCTTTTTCATGCTGTTGTAGTTGTCACTAAATTCCTTGAGCATCCTTATAACCATTACTTTGAACTCTGTATCTGATAGATTGCTTGCCTCCCTTTCATTTAGCTCTTTTTCTAGATATTCCTCCTGTTCTTTGATTTGGGGCCTGTTTCTTTGTTTTCCTTCCTTGGCTGTCTTTTTGTGTTTGCTTCTGAATATTAGATCCAACTTCTCTGACTCCCAGTCTTCGTGGGGTGGGTTTATGTAGCAGGTGCCCTATGGGGCCCAGTGGCACAGTCTCCTGAGCTGCTGAGCTGGGACCTCTGGGAATGCCCTTGTGTGGGTTACTTGGGCCCTCCTGTTGTAATTGAGCCGGGATTACTGTTGGCCTGTTCCTGCATGGGACTGAGCCCCAGGCTGGCTGACTGTGAGCGCACCTCCCACCATGGTGTGCAAAGCTGCTGTGCAGATGCAGCCCTGGTGTAGCTTCTTCTGGAAATCCTTGGCAATGCAACTTCTCTTCAGCTAGTCCTCCGCGGGTTATTCAGGGTGACCGTTCCCAAATTTAGTCCTGTTTCCAGTTTAGCCTGGGGTGGAGGTGAGTGGTCAGTGCTTGTCATTTTTTTTTTTTTTTTTTTGTAATGCCTTTGTCTGGTTTTGGTGTTAGGATAGTTTGGCCCTATAAAATGTGTTGGAAAATGTCTTCTCTTTTATTTATTTATTTTTGGAAGAGTATGTGGAGAATTGCTATTAATTTAAAAAGTATTCCAGCCCAGCCGGTGTGGCTCAGTGGTTGGGTGTCGACCCTGCACCAAGATGTTGCCAGTTTGATTCCTGGTCAGGGCACATGCCCAGGTTGTGGGCCTGATTTCCAGTGGGGGGCATGCAGGAGGCGGCCAGTCGATGTTCTCTCTCATTGATGTTTCTCTCTCTCTCTCTTCTTTCTTCCTCTCCAAAAATCAATAAAAAGAAAAAAAATATTTAAAAAAATGTTTCATAAACTTCTGTATTGAAGATCTAGAAGCTTAGGCTTTTCTTTGAGTGTGGGTTTTTGATTATGGATTCAATCTCCACTTGTTATATTTACTCAGAGAGTCTATTTGTTTTTGAGTCAGTTTTAGAAGTTGTGTCTTCCTAGGGATTTTGTCCATTTCATGTAAGTTATCTAATTTTTGGTATACAATTGTTCACAGTGTTTCTGATAATATTTTTTTATTTTTGTAATGTTGGTAGTAATGCCCCCTCATTCTTTACTGATTCTATAAATTGAATCTTGTTTTTCTTTTTTCTTCTTCAAAGAATCAATTTCTGGTTTTCTTTATGTTCTCTTCTGTTTTTCTTTTTTCCTTTTTATTAATTTCCACTTCAATCTTGACTATTTTCTTTTTTTCTGATTGCTCTAGGTTTAGTTTGTTCTCCTTTCTTAGTGTCTTTAGATGAGGAGATATATCAGAAAAAATAGTGCTATGACAAATGTCTCAGATTTTACTGCCTATATTTTCTTCTAGGATTTTTATGGTTTTGAGTCTAACATTTAAATCTTTAATCCATTTTGAGTTTATTCTTGTATATAATGTAAAATGGTTGTCTAGTTTCACATTTTTAAATGTATCTGTTCAATTTTTCTAATACCATTTATTGAAAAGACTGTTTTACCCCAATTCTATATTCTTGACTGCTTTGTCAAATATGAATTGACCATACAGGTGTGGGTTTATTTCTGGGCTCTCTATACAATTCCTTTGATCTATATGTCTGTTTTTAAGCCAGCACCATGCTATTTGATTACTATGGCCTTGTGGTATATTTTGATATCAGGTAGAATGATTCCTCCAACTTTGTTCTTTTTTTCTCAAGCTTGTTATGGCTCTATTTGGTGTCTTTTTTGTTTCCATTATAATTTTTTGGAATATTTGTTTTAGTTCTGTGAAATATGCCTTTGGTATCTTGATAGGGATTGTGCTGAATCTATAAATTGCTTTGGGTTCTATGGACATTTTAATGGTGAATTATTTCTATCCATGAACACAGAATATGCTTCCACTTATTTGTATCTTCTTCAATTTATTTTTTCAGTGTCTTATAATTTTTCAAATACAGGTCTTTTACCTCCTTAGTTAAATTTATTCCTAGGCATTTTATTATTTTTGATGCGATTGCAAGTGGGATTGTTTTCTTAGTTTTCCTTTCTGGTAGTTCATTACTGGTGTTTAAAAATGTAACCTGTTTCTGAATATTTATTTTGTTTCCTGCTACTTTAGTGAATTTATCAATTCTACTCGTTTTTTG